GCTGCAGAGCCTGGCTGAGAAGGAGGTGAAGGGAGCTGTGTATTCCATGGTGGAGTTCAACGGGAAGCTGTTAGCCAGCATCAACAGCACGGTAGGGCCCTCGTGAGACTCCAGCTTCCTTCCCGAGCATATGTCAGAACTGGGAGCTGTTCCAGCTGTGTGGCTGTCAGCTGGGTCTGTTGGCGAGTGTATCTTGGATGGCATAGGTGTGAGTCCCAGCTCAGTCTCGTCCCTTCCTTCCTCCAGGTGCGCCTGTATGAGTGGACAGCTGAGAAGGAGCTGCGCACGGAGTGCAACCATTACAACAACATCATGGCTCTCTACCTGAAGACCAAAGGAGACTTCATCCTTGTGGGAGATCTGATGCGGTCTGTCCTGCTCCTTGCCTACAAGCCCATGGAAGGAAACTTTGAAGAGGTATCAGTGCTGTTGGGTATTAGATTCGCAGTTGTTTAGATCAGAGAAGACCTTCATATCAAGTCCAACTGTCAACTTGTCTGCGGAGTCCCATCGCTAAACCGTGTCCCTTAGTGTCATTTAGAATCATAGAGTCATTTAGGATGAAAAAGACTTTCAAGAAACAAAGGAACTCCACTTCTCCCTGCACTTCACATGCACAGAAAGATGCTGTCATTTATCAGACAGTTCCAGAGATGTGTGTTTTCTGACAGCCATCAACACAAGGGGTTTTGACTGAACTGCAGGTGTGTTAGTAATGGTGTCAAGCTGTTAAATGTTAGAATGAGACAACTTAGTGTTACAAATGTTGGGGCTTCAATAGTGGTATCCTTCAGGAAGTATGTTCACTTGGTCAGAGGTGCTGGGAGTCCATGCTACTTGTTCCAGTTGGCTTCAGGCAAGGGGAGCAGTGTTGAAGATGGAAAATGGAGGAACCTGGCTCAGCCCACCTCACCAGCCCTTTGAAGTCAAAGGCGTAGGGTTGTGCACAGAAAACAGGATTACCTGGTGACATTCTTCTAGACAGATCCCTGTCTTCTTGGAGGAACAGATCCCAGGCTTTTGGAAGGCTGGGCTGTGTGTCAGCTGCCTTGGGAAGTGCAGGCCTGCAGTGCGTGCCAGGAGAGGGGAGCTGCCCCACACTGTGCACTTGGGGGGGCTGCATCTGTCAGCAAGTGCAGCGTAGCTGGGGGTCGGACCAGGCACTGGGGCCATCTGTGCACCTGTGAGAATGGCTTTAGCATGGTCTGGCCTCATTTGCCCTGGCATCATCCAAGTGCAGCTTAGGCCAGCACCATCTTCACAGAGGCTGTTTGTGCTATTTGCTCAGTAGAGAGGTCAGACTGCATCATGCCTCGCTCACAAATGGGGCTGCTGAGTGGGATGAAGATGTGCTTCACTGCCCCTCCTCTTGTCCCTTTCCAGATTGCCCGGGACTTCAATCCAAACTGGATGAGTGCTGTAGAGATCCTGGACGATGACAACTTCTTGGGAGCAGAGAACGCTTTCAACCTGTTTGTGTGCCAGAAGGACAGGTGGGCTGGCAGGAAGGGAGTTGTAGCAGTACATAGCAGGAGTGATGGGGCGTGTGTTGGGCAGGAAAATGGACAGAAGCATGCCCAGCTCTGAGATGGGATTCAGGGGAGCTCTCCTGTGCCCCCAGCACAGACTGAGTGGAGTGCTTTGGCTTTCAGTGCTGCCACGACTGATGAGGAGCGCCAGCACTTGCAGGAGGTGGGGCTGTCCCACTTGGGAGAGTTTGTCAATGTCTTCTGTCACGGCTCCCTGGTCATGCAGAACCTGGGTGAGACGTCCACACCAACACAGGGCTCCGTTCTCTTTGGCACAGTCAACGGCATGATAGGTGAGGGGCAGGGAGCACCCTGGCCTGAGATTCCTTCTGTCTCTTCTTCTTCTCCCCATCCTTGTCCCAGCCCCGTCAGACAGCAGCCTCCAGCTGCAGTCCTGCCATTCCCTGCCTGCTGGCAGCTGCAGCAGTGGTCTTAGGATCTGCAAGATGCTGAACTTGCATCACCATGTTTTCCTTTATAGGGCTGGTAACTTCTCTGTCAGAGAGCTGGTACAACCTCCTGCTGGACATGCAGAACAGGCTGAATAAAGTCATCAAGAGCGTGGGCAAGATCGAGCACTCCTTATATCCTTCTGTGGTTCAACTGGGAGCCCATGCCAGCGGGTGCTGGGGGCTGTCTTGTGAATTAAAGCACATCTTACAGGGCTTGAGGACAAACTGGGCTTTGCAGTAGTGCAAATGTTGGTTTCTCTTTGATCCCAGGAGATGGCAGTGCTTGAGGAACTGCATGCAATAATGTCAAGTTCCCAAGATCTTCCTTGCCCCACTTTTAGGGCTATTTTCTAGACCAGTTCTGTGAGGCAGCATGGTCAGTCTGCCCCAGGCTACCCAGCAGAGAGGTTTTTTGTCTGGACAGGGTGGGATTGATATCACTCCATGTGGATTTGACTCCTTGACAGTGCCACCTGGAGATCGTTTCACACTGAGCGCAAGACAGAGCCAGCTACAGGCTTCATTGATGGTGACCTGATTGAAAGCTTCCTGGACATCAGCAGGCCCAAGATGCAGGAGGTGGTGGCAAACCTGCAGGTGAGAGGGGTGACCCCACAGGTGGGGACACTGCTCAGAAATGGAGGCTGTGCTAAATGCTAATCACACGTCTTGCTGTTTCTCCATCACCTGCAGGTGTTTTCATGCTTTTCTCTCTCTGCAGATTGATGATGGCAGTGGGATGAAGAGGGAGGCCACTGTGGACGACCTGATCAAGATCGTGGAGGAGCTGACCCGCATCCACTAGCAGGATTTGGAGCTTTTTCCTGACACCTTCCTCCATGTAGAGCAAGGGGCTTTCTTCCCCTGCCTGGCTGCACTCAGCGCCGGCAGTGGCCCTTGCCTGAGGGGAGGTGTCTGAAGGAGAGCTGTTTGTTAGGGATCTGGGGGGCACCATGCTGTTGTCAGCTTGGATTCACCAATCCTACGGACTCCTACCAGTGCTGGGCTTTGCTGGTTGCTCTCGCTGGGCGACGCACAGCACTGCCCTTACCTGGGTTCATGCTTTGCTATTGTTTTGTTTTGTTTTGTTTTTCTGCTTTCGTTTTTGATTCTTTTCGATCCATGGTGGGTTTGGTTGGGGTTTTTTGTTTGTTTGTTTTTGGAAGAGGAAGCAAAGCTGCCTCAAGCGTGAGGGCTGGAGAAGGCATCTGGGGCAGGTGAGATCTGTGGGCCCAGAGCATTTCTCTGCACCTGGCGAAGGAAGCAGAGGGGGACAGCAGGACAGAATGCTTCTCTCCCTCCACAGCACCTCTGGCTCGCTCAGGGAGGGAATTTCTGGGAAGCTCAATCATTTGTGGAGTTTTACCAAATAAAGTAGTCCAAACGGAATGGTGTGTCTGCTGGTGCTGCCACGCTCCACTAAGCATCACAGTTGCATGGGATTCACAGAATCATACAGAATGGCTTGAGTTGGAAGGGACCTCAAGGATCATGAAGCTCCAACCCCTCTGCCACAGGCAGGGCCCAAAACTTCCCCATTTAATACTAGACCTGTCTGCCCAGGGCCCCATCCAACCTGGCCTTGAACATTTCCAGGGACAGGGAGGCATCTATAGTGTCTCTGGGCAGCCTGTTCCAGTACCTCAGCACTCTCATAGTAAAGAACTTAAGGATTCCTGCCTTCTCTGGTGCAGCAGGGGCAGGGAGTACAGAGCTAGGAGCTGGAAGGGCACAATCAAGTCAGGCTCCATCCAGGATGGGGTCCTGCCCCTCATTCTCTGCGTGTAAAATAGATTAATCATTACCCTCCTGGCCTCCATTTGGCTCTGAGCTGCCTGAGCCCTGGCTTGCTGCTGTCCTCATTGCTGAGCAGTTGCCAAAACGCACGTGAGGGGACTGAGGAGTCCCCAGCTGCCCACTTCCCCATTGGAACCCATGGGGTTAACAGCCCCCACAGATCCTATCCCACACTTAGGAGGCTCTGGGCCACCAGAAGAGGGCACAGGACCCCAGATTGGATCCTTTCTCCTCGCTATGCAACTCAGGTTTTGCTCCAAAAGCTGCATGTGCGCACGAACTCCATGGCCCCATGCGAGCACAAGTTTTTTCCCTATATTCTTCCTTTCCTCAGTAGCAAAGAGGTGGGCAGCATCCTAAAGTCAAGTGTGTGTTTCCAGCAGCCCTGAGTTGCTGGGCAAGCCTTAGGTGTGGGAAAAATCCGATCCACCTGGATCGTTGTTTGGGATGGGAAAAGTAAATTGACCCTCCACAGGCAGGGAGGGTGCTTTGCTGGAGGGCTCAGAATCTATGCTTAGCCTTTCTCCCTCCCTAAAAGCAAACCCGGGGTGGCAGGTGCCACGCTCTCAGCTTCTCTCCAGCCAGCATTTGGTGATGCCGTGGGGTCATGCTGCAGGGGAAGCCTGGGGCTGCAGGCAGAGGGTCACCCCATCGCTGTGCTGCAGGGAATGGCCTTTGCTCTGTGCCGTCAATCATTTACCTGCCCTTCACCTTTGCTTCAGCCCCTTGCCGGGCGCAGGGAGGTTCGGGCTGGAGGGGTTTCAGCTCCCACGGAGCCCCTCGCCGCGCCCTTCCCCACTGCACTTTGGCTCCTCTATCTGCTGCGTGCTCCTCTTTGGTGGGTCCCCGTGCAGGGCTGGGAAGGCAGCCCAGTGCCGCCAGGAGAAGGAGGAGGAGGGGTGGGGAGAGGCCAGCCCGGAGCTCTGCCAGATGTGGGAAAGGAGAAAGCAGGGGGGACGCTGAGCTCCGTTCTCCCCCCTCCGAAGAGTGGGGACCCCCTCCCTCGGGGAGGAGGAGGAGAAGGTCGGTGGCGTTGAGGCCGAGGTGCGGCGAGGGCGCAAGGCTCGACTCGAGCATCCCCACGCTCGTTCTCCCGCGCTGGGGCAGAGGAGGATCGGGGCCCCCCGGCGCGCCCCGCTCTGCCTCCCTCCACCCCCCGCATTGTTCCCGGCCCGGCGGGCGGGAGGAGGAGCAGGGCCAAGGGCCAGCATGCGGTAGGCGCCCCGTGCTGCAAGGCAGGCAGGAAGGCAGCGCTGGGAGCGTGCCGCCGGAACCGCTGGCATGTTGGTCGTGCTGCTCGTCCGGGCTGCCTGTGTGTCCCTGCTCCTCCCGGGCGGGCAGGGCAGGGTGTACTCCGAGAGGAAGAAGCCGGCCAGCTTTGCCGTGGAGAGGTAGCCTGCCCCCCTTTTCCTTATCCCTACCCCAGCTGCACCTGGGGATGGCGGCGTGCGGTGTCGTGCCCACGTGCGCCCCATCCACTACCGTGACCCTCGCGGGCTGCCTCTCCCCACGTCTCCATCCTGCCCAGAGATGCGTCTCCACCACCCCTCCGTCCCACCACATCCCGCAGTCATCCCGTACCCGTTGTACCCCGAGACCCCTTCCTCAGATCCGTGCCGCTGCATCGTCGGCACTCCAGCTTCCCTCACGTCCCCATCCCCGGTCCCCATCGCCTCCTCACGTCCGTGGGGCTCGGCTAAGGGTGACCTCCTCCTTCGCCGCCCGCTCCCAGGCGCCACGTGGGGCCCCACATCTGCTTCTCGGCTTTCGGCAGCGGATGTTGCCCCGGCTGGATGCTGGCTCCGGGCAGCGGGCAGTGCATCCTCCGTGAGTACGGGCGCCGGGGATGGCACCGGGTGGGAGTCCCCGCGCCCTCACGTTCCCGCGCCCCGCAGCGCTCTGCTCCTTTGGCTGCGGCAGCGGCTTCTGCATTGCGCCCAACCTCTGCTCGTGCCCCGATGGAGAGCGGGGCGTCACCTGCCCAGGTAGGGCCCCATCCCCTCCACGTGCCACGGAGCCGAGGGCGCACAGTTGGCTTCTGGGCTGCCCCCGGTGCCCCGCAGAGCCACTCTTTGCCTTCCAGAGCCGCTGGGGAGCTGCGGGGAGTACGGCTGCGACCTCTCCTGTAACCACGGTGGGTGCCAGGAGGTGGCCCGCGTCTGTCCCCTCGGCTTCTCCATGGTGGAGACGGACGCCGGCGTCCGCTGCAACGGTGAGCTGGGGGGAGCGCGGTGTGGCCGGACGGGGGCTCCCAGCGTTCCCCAGCCCCCAGCTCCGTCTCTTCTCGCCCGCAGACATCAACGAGTGCCTGAGCGCTGCCTGCGAGGGGCTGTGTGTCAACACCGAGGGCGGCTTCGTCTGCGAGTGTGGCCCCGGCATGCAGCTCGCTGCCAACCGCCACAGCTGCCAGGGTGCGCAGGGACAGGGGCTGGGGAGGGCCGCTCAGCTGGGGCGCTGAGCCTCAGCCTCTGCCTGGCAGATACTGACGAGTGCCTGGCCACGCCGTGCCAGCACCGCTGCAAGAACAGCATGGGCAGCTACCGCTGCTCCTGCCGTCCCGGCTACCACCTCCATGGGAACCAGCACACCTGCGTGGGTGAGTGCTGCATGCGGGCTTAGCAGCCCGTTGCCGCGGGCTGCATCACAACAGCTCCCCATGCACCTTCACCTCTCCCCGGCACCGTCACCCCTCCCCTATGTGCCGGCACCTCGACCCCTCCCCACGTGGTGGAAACCCGACCCTGCTATGCGCCCGTGCTCTGCTCAGTGCCACGGGTGACACCGCTGGGGACACCAACGTGTTCCACATCCCCCAGATGTCAACGAGTGCCGGCAGCCAGGTGAGCGCCGTGCCTGCCAGCATGCCTGCCACAACACACTGGGCAGCTTCCTCTGCTCCTGCCGGCCTGGCTACCGGCTCAGCAGGGACAGGGTGTCCTGTGAAGGTAACCGCCTGTTCCTCCATGTGGGAACCCCCAAACTCCCCGTGCTGACACCTTTCCCCTTCCCTCCCAGGCTTCCCCAAGGCCATCCTGGCACCCTCGCCCATCCTGCAGTCTCTGCAGCACCCCCCCACGCACATCCTGCTCCCTCCTGGAGCTGGGGGACCCCTCCTGCTCCCCTCTCCTCACCTCCCTGCCGCGGCACCAGGCACATCCATTCCTCCCTCCCCTCACGATGCCATCAAGCCACCTCCTGGGACTCCCACATCAGCTCCTCTCTGCTGGCATCGTGGGGCTCCCCAGGAGCCGGGCACTCGCTGGAACGAGCCAGGGTGCCAGAGCTGCAGCTGCCACGTGAGCACTCCTCGTACCTGCATCCACACATCCCCATATCCCCACATCCCCATGCTGTGCCTGAGCTGTGCCCACCCCAACAGGGAGGCCAAGTGCTGTGCGAGGCCATCACCTGCCTCATACCGTGCTCCCACCCTCTGCCTGCCCCAGCTGGGGGCTGCTGTCCCAGCTGCACAGGTGAGCCCTGGCCCCCCCATTCCCATGCCCCCCTACGGCCTGCTCTGACTCCTGGCTCGCAGGCTGCCTGAACAATGGGGTGGCCCACACTGAGGGAGAAGTCTTCACTCCATCAGATGGAAACTGCACCATCTGCATGTGCCTGGTGAGTGCTGTGCAGTGGGACAGGGCTGGGGACAGTCCTTCAGTCCTGTCCCGGATGCTCATGACATTGATGGGACACACTGGAAATATGGGATCCAAATGATGCACTGCCACGTGCCAGAGCTGACGTCCATTGCTCATCCCATGACCGCCCCGCGTTCCTCTCTGCAGGCTGGCAATATCTCCTGCATCTCCCCTGAGTGCCCCCCAGGCTCCTGTCCCAGCGCCTCACCCCCCAACTGCTGCTCCTGCCAGCCAGGTGGGGTCCTACCAGAGGAGATCGAGTGGCTGCGGGTGGTTCTGCCACACGCATGGGGTCCTGGGGGGGCTCAGCTCCCCATCTCAGCCCTCGTTGCCTCCCTCCTGCCCAGCAAAATGTAGCTTCCGTGGCCAGACCTACGCGCACGGAGCCCGCTTCAGCTTGGATGGGGACGAGTGCACTACCTGTGTCTGCCGGGTGGGTCCGGGGCACTTCTTGTGGTCCCACGAGTGGCACAGAGCTGCTGGGTGATGCTCCCTTCTCCCCACAGAACGGAGAGGTGGAGTGCTCTTTTGCCCCATGCCCGGTGCTGGACTGTCCCCAGCACCAGCAGCAGCTGCATCCCGGGCAGTGCTGCTTCAGCTGCAAGGACCCCCCGCGCCCCTCGGGTGAGCTGGGGTGTGGGGTGCCAGTTGGGAGAAAGGGGATTGGGGATGCATTGCCACAGGGTTCAGGTGGTGTTTGTGTACCCACATGTGGCAGAGAGTGACAGGATGAGGTGCCCTCTCCCCAGCCATGTCCATGTCCCCACCAGGCTGCTTCGTGGATGACAATGGGGTAGAGTTTCCCATTGGACAGATTTGGTCTCCAGGTGATCCCTGTGAGTTATGCATCTGCCAGGTGAATGAGAATCTACTCTGTTTCACTCCTCCTACCTGTCCCCATCTCTGTCTTCATCCCCATCCCTTCCATGTCCCCATCCCCTGTCCTCATGCCTTGCCTTGCATCTCTGGGATTGGCTCAGGGAAGGATGGGGAGTTCCAAAGCAGGATCTCTCTCCAGCTGCCTCCTGCCTTAGCCATGCTTCAGCCTCTGCTCTTCTGCCATCCCCAGCTCCACAGGCTTTCCACCCCCTCCATACTGTGTTTAAGCTCCCCGGCTTTGGGTTCAACCTGTATGACTTCAAGGTCTGTGTCACTTGTTCCCCCTCGCAGGCTGATGGCTCGGTGAGCTGCAAGCGGACAGACTGCGTAGAGACATGCCCTTACCCCATCCACATCCCGGGGCAGTGCTGCCCCGACTGCTCAGCAGGTGATGGGGCAGCAGGGGACAGGGTGACAACCCAGGACTCCAGGCACTGCAACCCCACTCTCAACCCATAGGATGCACCTACATGGGGCGGATCTTCTACAACAATGAGACCTTCCCGTCGCTCCTGGACCCCTGCCTCAGCTGCATCTGCCTGGTGAGGCGTGTGGACTTTGGGTGTGGGCATTTGGGTACCCCTGACCCACTAATGCCCAGCCCTCACCTCTCCCCAGCTGGGCTCAGTGGCCTGCTCACCCGTGGACTGCGCCATCTTCTGTACCTATCCCTTCCACCCCGAGGGCGAGTGCTGCCCTGTCTGTAAAGGTGAAATCCAGGGGCATGGGGACTTGGGGACAGGGGGACATGGGGACACAGGGACACGAGGACAGAAAGACGTGGGGACACGAGAACACAGGGACGTGAGTACATGGGGGTGTGGGGATGCAGGGACATAGGGGACATGGTGACAAGGGGACATAGGGATGTGAGGACATGGGGACACAGGGATGTGTCCCCCACCCCTGCTCTGAGCACTGTCCCCCTAGACTGCAACTATGAGGGCAGGAAAGTGGTGAATGGGCAAAGCTTCAGTCCTGAGGGCCGGCCCTGCATCCGCTGTACGTGCCAGGTGAGCTCACGCCTCCTCCTTTCCTCACACTCCTCATCCCCCTCATCCTCCTCATCACCCTCTTCCTGCTGTGCCACAGCTTGGGGAGGTGAGCTGCGAGGAGAGGCCGTGTCCCCAGTCCTGCACTGAGCCCACTGCCTGCTGCCTCCGTTGCCAAGGTAGCACCTCTATATGTGGGTGCCCCAACCTGGCTTTTGTCCCCAGTGTGGGATGCAGGAATTTTGGGGGGGGGGGGGGTGAAGCTAAATGTGGGCATCTCGCTCTCTACAGCAGACGGCCAGCTGCAGAGCAGCGACACATCCCCATTTCTGTCCCCATCCCCAACCCCACAGCCATCATCCCCATCCTCATCCCCATCCTCTTCTCCATCCCCATCTCCATCCCCATCCTTGTCTCCGTCACCATCCCACAAGGGCACACCCCAGTCCCCCCGCCACCGCCTGGCCCAGGTCCTGCTCCACCCCAACCCCCTCAGCCCCTCTCTGGGGGGGGAGCCCCCTCCCAACACCCCGAGCCCCCCATTGGGCTGCCCTGGTAAGGCCACAGGATCCCCAGCCCTCAGCAGCAGCCCCAGCTCAAGGCAGGACGCTCAGGAACAGCCTGGGGACGTGGACATGGACACATAGAATCACCCACACCTGGAGGAGGAGGAGGAGGAGGAGGAAGGCTGCTGGATTAGCGGGCCTGGCCGGCCAGGCACAGCTGAAGATGGGGCACTGAGGTGCGCAGTTGGATGCGCTGAGCAACCAGAGGTGGTGACACATCCTTGAGCAGTGGGCACGGGGACCCCCGGCCCTTCACCATTCCATGGTGCCAGAGGCTGTAGGGCTGTGGTGCCAGTGCTCTTCCACCCCCCAATAAAGTTACCCCAGTATTTACGCTCCAGGCTCCTCCTTGTAGCCACCCAGCCCAGCCCCACTTGGTTTTGGGGTCATGAGAACTGTGCAGCTCTTAGGGATCTTATCGCTCTCTACAGCTAACTCCCTCAAAGGAGGTAATTAGCAAAAGGACAAGAGATGATAGCCTCAAGTTGTGCCAGCGGAGAATCAGGCTGGATATTAGGAAAAAAATTCCTATCAAAGAGTGGTGCTGCATTGGCACAGGGGGTGGTGGAGTCACCATCCCTGGAGGCGTTTGAGAACCACGGAGATGTGGCACTGAGGGACACGGTCAGTGGGCATGGCGGGGATGGGTCAACAATTCAACTGGATGGTCTTAAAGGTCTTTTCCAACCTTCATGGCTCTGCGATTCTGTGACTGTGGTGTGCCTCAGGCGGCCGGCGCCAGCCCCACCATGCTGTTGGCTCTGTCGAAGACGCTGTAGTAGCAACGCAGGAAGATGTTGCCAAGGATCCAGAGCTCATCGGTGGTCACGGGCAGGGCATATGCTTCAAAGCCACTTATGCAGGAGCCATCCTCCATCTGGAGGGGATGGGGGATGTGGTGAGTGGTGGACAGCCCGTGGGTACGGTGTGCTGGGGCTTGGGGCTCACCTGGAGGATGTAGGACTGGGCTGGCAGCGGGAATGGTGTGCCACCGATGACAAAGACGATGTCGGGCAGAATGGAGCTGCATCTCACTGTGTGCTGCCAGGGAAGGACAGCCTGGCTTCAGCCCCCGTAGGAAGCCACCACTGTCCTGTCCCTGCCTTCATCCCCATGTGTTTACCAGACCACTGGGGCTGCGTATGGCTCCCATCTTATGGTGGATGTGGCGCACGCTGAGACCAGGACCTGCCAGCATCGAGGTGCCGCTGTCCAGGATGGCCTGGCAGCCATGGATGCAAGCGATGGGGAGGCCATGCATGGTGATTCTGGAGGCAAGGCACGTCCCTTAGGCAGGCTGTCATCCTGGTGACAAGTCCCCCTACCCATGCCACGTCCCAGCACTACCTGTCCACCTTGATTTGCCAGTAGGTTTGGGCAGTCAGCGGGATCCAGCTCAGGTTCCCAGTGAAGTGGGAACTGTCGATGCCACCAAAGAGCACAAAGCTGCCATTCCGCTCATCACTGTGAAGGGAGGCAGAAGTGGGGTGCCCAGGGGGTGCCAGTGCCCTTCTGGAGCAGAATTCTGCTCCCAGGTGGGAGCTGTGCATGCCTTAGGGTCACCCCAACGTGAAGCTTTCACCATCGGTAATGCTTTAGCCCCAAGTGTGTCGGAGTTTGCCTACGTGCTGCTGGTACTTACGGGGTGAGGTAGATGGAGAAGAGGTCCTGAGCCACCAGGCCTTGGCTCATCATGTTGTCAAACAGCGGAGTAGCACCGGAGGAGGCAATTTTGGGGAAGCCCAGCCCCAGGAAGCCATCAAAGGGCACGTGGACAAGGAAGGAGCCGGGCTCCCACTGGCTCAGCCCAACCATCTGGTTCTGCACCTGGATGCTCCCAACCTGACGGGGAAAGCGGGGAGGCTTAAGGTGCACCACATCTCCCCCGACCCTGTGCCCCCTGGATGCTCACCGTGACGGTGTCGTAGGCCAGCACACCAACCATGCTGCCAGTACCGTACCAGGTGGCCACACTGGTGGTTGTGCTGCGGTAGGTGGAGGAACGAGCCGGGTCGAAGCGTTGGTGGTTGGCTGCCGCAGGAGAAGGGGGGGAGTGGAGAGAACTGAGCAGGGCAGGGGGGCTGCAACCCCCCCTAGCGTCCCGATGCTCAGCGATACTCACCACAAGCCGGGCTGGAACAGTACACGGAGGGCACCCACAGGTTGGCTGAGCCGGTGTCAAAGATGACAGAGAACTGCTGTGCTGGCGTGCCGATGGAGATGGTGCCCACGTAGCTCAGCTGCCAACGCAGGGCGTGTTGGAGGCTTCCACTGCCCCCTGCCCAACCCCACAAAATCCCCCAGTCACTGGGGATCCTGCCAAGCCCCTCACACTCACATCCATGTAGTTTTCCAAGAGCTCCGTGGTGGTGGTGCGGTGATGTTTGACTGCTGGGGAGAGGGCTTGCTGCAGCAGGAGCTCCCCCAGCACCCCGCTGTCCTTCAGCACTCTCTGCTTTGTCTTCCTCTGCTGCAAGATGACCCTGTGAGAGGGACTGCAGTTGAGCACGGCGACAACCACAGGTCTTGGATCCCACCATGACCACCAGTGTTCCCTACTTTGTCATCATGGCGTGGGTGGCTACTGCCAGCCCCATCAGCCACAGCCACCTCATGGCACAGGGATGCAGTACTGCACTGTGGGGTGCCTGCCCTTAAATCACAGCACACAGAGGCACTCCCAGATGAGGCGTGCCGGCACCCCGATAAGCCAGCACTTTCATCCCACTTGGGGACACTTACTGGCCACCTTGGCACTGGGCCCCTGGCACCTATCAGCTTCCTGCTGTCATGCCACTGCCCTTCTGGCACTTACAGGCTGCCTGCTGCCTTGCTTGGAGATGTGGGGTGTTTGCACAGCTGGGTGAACCACAGGGAGCTGGGGGATGCAGTGGCACGCAGGTGGCAGCAAGCAGCATCAACAGCACCACCCTTAAATGAATCCCATCCCTGGGATGAATCTTCTGATTGTCTCTTCTGTGCACAGGAGACATGTGTGGCTTGCTGGAGGCTGGGAATGAGCCGACTGGGAGCTGCCAGGGGCTCAGTGCTGGTGCTGCCAACAGAAGCCAGCGAAGCCATGTGCCAGGAACAAACACAGCTTAGGTAAGCCATGCCAGCATGGCGATGGTTTTGTCCCAGACCTTGGATACTTGTGGCCAGCAAGCATCATGGTGGAGGGAAACAAAGGGCCCCACCAGCAGGAGGAGCTCAGCCTGACATCATCAGCATCATGGAAATGCTGCAACCTGACCTGACCCTTCCCAGAGAAACTCAACACATGAATGCATTTCCAAGGCTTTATTGTGCTCAGTGACAGCAGCAGTGGGGGACTGAAAGAAAAAGTGGGGTCTGGCCCAGCAGGGGCTGAAGGGGCTCAGGACAGGGGGGAGAGCCCCACCTTGTTGTTGCCCCTGTCGAAGATCACATAGTACTCGCGGATGAAGACATCACCGAGGATCCATTGCTCACCCAACTCAGTGGGGGTGCCCATGTTTTCGATGCCAAGGCTGCAGGACCCGTCCTCCTGTGGGCAAGGATGGAGACCATCACCAACTGCCCAGGACACCCAGAAGAGTCCATCCCCACCCCTACCTCCATTTCCATCCCATCTCCATCCTCATTTTCATCTCCATCCCATTTCCATCCCCATTTCCATCCCCATCCCCATCCCCATGCCCATCCCCATTCCCATCCCCATCCATCTCCATTCCCATCCCCATCCATCTCCATCCCATCCCCATCCCTATCCCCATCACCACCCCCATGGGGTGCTCACGTTCAGCACGTAGGCGCTGGGTGGCAGGGTGAAGGCATGGCCGTTGATATGGAAGGTGATATCAGGCAGTTTGCTGATGTCATCGCAGCTGATCTGTTGGGAAGATGGGGTCAGTGGCCCTTCTGGAACCATGTGTCCCGTGGCAGGACCTTGGCCTTTAGGGAGGATCCTGAGTCCTGTGGGTCCCCAGGACCTCCCGCCTCACCTCGCCATCAGAGCTGACACCCAGGTCACGGATGACACGATTGTAGGCACCCTGGGGCATGACTAGCAGTGAGGTGCCAGTATCCACGATGGCCTGGCAGGTGAAGAAGCAGGCGACGTACTTGTCACCAACGGTGACCCTGCATGGAGCCCAGAGGTGAGATATGGGATGTCACCACCCTCACCCTGTCCCATCACTGTCAACAATACCTGTCCATGGTGATCTGCCAGTAGGTTTCAGCAGAGAGTGGGACCCAGTAGATGCCTTTGGTGGTGTAATTTGGGTCGATGCCACCAAAGAGGACAAAGCTGCCTGATTCCCCATCCCTGTAGGAGAGCAGCCATTAGGTACAGTGGTCCCATGGCCCAGGATCCCCACAGCACTGAGGGGACGTGATGCTGAAGCCTCCAAGGGAGCCTCAAGGAGAGAACTTTCTCTGTGGGACCTACTTGCTCAGGTAGACAGAGAAGAGGTCCTGGGCCACCAGGTGCTGGCTCATCATGTTGTCGAAGACAGGGGTGGCCCCAGAGGAGGAGATGCTGGGGAAGGCCAGGCCCAGAATGCCATCGAAGTTGCAGTAGTAGAAGAACGAGCCAGGCTCAGTCTCAGACAGCCCAAAGATCTGATTTTTGACATCGATGCTCGAGACCTGGTAGGAGAGATGGGGAGAGCAGGATGGGTTGGGTTGGGGCATGTGGCATCCCCATGTCCCCATGTCCCATGACACAAGCAGCTGGATCGCTGCTGCCTTACGGCCACAGTGTCATAGCCCAGGATGCCACTCATGCTGCCGGTGCCGTAGGCGATGTAGACGGTTTCGTTGGTGCTCACGTAGGTGGAGGACTTGGAGGGGTTGAAGAGTTTGTGGTTGCCTGCAGGTATGAGAGAGGGATGGTCACAGCCCATCTCACCCTTGGGCACCGAAGGCAAGGTGACAACACGTAGCAAAAGGGGACACCATCCACCAGCCCTCAAGGACAGGGATACTCACTGCAGGCCAAGCTTTTGCAATACACAGAGGGCACCCACAGGTTGGAGGAGCCAGTGTCGAAGATGACAGTGAAGTCCTGCTGCGGGGTGCCGATGGAGATGGTGCCATAGTACGAAGCCTGTGGAAGGAGGTTAGGGATAAGGATAGGAAGGTGATGAGAGAGTTGGTAAGGGGCTGGTAGCCCTTGGGTTGTGGCTGCCCCCTGCTCACATCCATGTAGTTCGTCATGGGCTCATAGGATTCAGTGGCAGTAAGGACAGGGTTGTATTTGGAGGCTGGGTTGTAGGGATGCTTCTTCAGGAAATCCTCCAGCAAGCCATGCTCCTTCAGCTGCTTCCGCAGGGACTTCCCCTTCTGCAGCGGGATCCTGAGGTGTGGGAGAGATCAGGGTCAGGGCAGGGATGGGGATCAGGGCATGGAAGTTTTGGGGACACCCATCCTGTGCCTTGGCTGTGGCTATGGCTGGGCACTGTGAGCTGTCCCCTGTCTCTGATGAGCCCCATCACATACCCACCACCACACTGCTCACCTGTGGATGCCGCATTGGGCCAGGGCCACCAAGCTGAGGAGCAGGAGCAGCTTCATCGTGGTTCTTTGTGGCAAGTTGCCGATACCAAGTGAAGTGCCGAATGTGCTGAGTGCCCCAGTTGAGCTCCTTATATACAGCCCCATGGTTGTTTGGCCAGCAGCCCCGATAAGAAAGGCAAACGGCCAGGTGGGAGTTATCGCAATGTCCGCAGAGGACACCACGGGAATGTCAAGGTGATGGCTTGCCATCTCCTCCACTGGGGCATGGGATGCTTAGGGAAGGCTCAGGCTTTGGGAGAAACACATCCCAGCATCCTACAGTGCCATGGGGAAGCCCTGGTAGATGTTGGTCTGATTGTGGACATGGAGGATGAGACTGGGACCAATTAGGGGATGAAAGTGGGACCCAATGGGGATGCTGCTGGCCAGGACAACACAAAGGTCACCCACATTTGGTTGCATCAGAGGTGCTCAGCTCCAGTTCGGGCATTGTGGTGCCATGCGCTTGAGCCAGCACGGTCACCTTGTCCTGTGCACAGAGCACTGGAGGGAAACAGAGAGAGTCTGCAGCACTGAGCACCAGCCTCAGCCCCACATCTTGCAAGGAGAGACGGGAAGATGGATGCTAACTTCACCAGGGAGAGGAAGGGAGAGCAGCCTAGTAGGGTCTAGGTCTAGCAGGTGATGATAAGGGCAGAATGGCTGAAATGCCCGATGTCCACTAGGCAGGGGACAACAGCATGCCCATATGGCAGCCTTCCTGCTGGGAAAAGAAGTTTTGGGCAAATAGTCCATTTTCATATTTTGGCCCAATGAGGCTTTTTCACACTCGTGATCAGGACTGGTGTTGTGAAACTATGGTATTCTGTTACTTGGCCACTTTCATGGTCACCTATTTTAGCAAGAAAAGCTCCAGAGCAGCAATAAGTGGGCTCAAAGATGAAAAGTAGTTCTGTGAGCAGGTTTTCCTGTATCAAAAAAAATATACATTCCGCATGTGTGTTCTGATAGATGTGCCTCCGGGTAAGAAGGCCACTTCTCAATGCCCTAAATCATAGAGACACAAAATGGTTAGTTGGATGGGACCTTAAAGCTCATCCAGTTTCAACCCCCCTGCCGAGGGTAGAGTTGCTCATCATGAGACAGGCCCTCTGACAGCACCTGTAAACAAGATGAACCAGGAGCGAACCCATGGGAGGACCCCCTGAGCCACCTTGGTCATCAGAGAGTGGTGAGGCCCTGGCACAGAATGCCCGTGGAAACTGTGGATGCCCCATTCCTGGAGGTGCACAACACCAGGCTGGATGGGGTCCTGGGCATCTTGATCTGGTGAGGGGCAACCAGCCCATGGCAGGGAATAGGGCTGGGAGGGCTTTAAGGTCTCTTCCAACTCAGCCATCATATTTTTCTATGATCAACAAGGGCAGGCAGGTGGCTCCAGGAGTTGAGCAGCTCTGAGATTGGCCAGAAGCAGATTTTCCTCTTTCTAAGGGCTGCTGCTGAGACTTCTCCCAAATGAACAGGCCTGCAGACATCAACAGCCACACTCACATCCACAATGTCCCCCAGGGGCAGGTGAAGGTCGAAGAAGGGCTCAGAGCCTGAAGGCAACTCATTGGCAAGGAGCAGGACCAGACTGGTGGCCAGTACAGGGGGGTGAGGCCCTGGGGCTGCTGCCTGTTTGCTCATACGTCAAGCTTCTGCATGTGCCTGATAAGAAATGCAGGTTTTTTCCACTGAGAGGCCTAAAGGAAGTTTTCAGAAAACTATTTATTTCCAAGGGCTAATGATTTCATAATCTTCTCCCGATGGGAAGCAGGCTATGAAGGGGGAGGACAGAGTGTTTCTGGTCTTTTTAATGAACTGTGGAGACAAGGAGGAAATGGAGCATGGGGACCTCACTTCACAGTCCAAGACCAAGAACTAGGCAATGTCAGGGAGATGTGGCTGCTCTGGATATGCCTTTTGGCAGCTACTGTATTCAAGCCAGGAAAGACACAATCAAGAAATCTGCACATCCTAAGGTGTCATCATGGGAAACCAGGGTAAAAGATGCCTTACTTTTGGACACACAAGAAGGTTAAGTGACTAGGATTTGAGTGGCAAATAGCTCTGTCTGGATCCCTGTGTGGCTTTGTCAGCAACAACAAAGACAAGGTGGGAATCAGTTGCACCAGACCATCCCTGGTGGCCAGGTGCACAAAAAGTCTGAATGGAAATGGTACAAGATTGGGCACCAACACTGCCTGAACTACCATATGGCTCATCCCAAGGACCAAATCATGTGGTGAGGAACTTTGCTGATGAAGCTCCAGAAAAGCCCTGTCAAACAGACCTGGTGCTAGGCAGAACTATCCTTGCTCTGTTGAGGAAAAGATATCCATTCCTAGAGCTCTACTTGTGCCAGCTCAAAAGCCTCTGCCTGAAAAAATCACTTTCCTGAGATATAGTTTATCCCGGTAACAGCAGATCAAGGAAGCAAACTTGTCTTCCTCTCCCTGTTCCATCTTTCCTGACCCTTCTGTTAGGGCAGACTGAGCGGACAGGAGTCTGGTTTGATGCTCCTGAGGTGTCAAATTCCTAGAACTTGATGTAGAAAGGTTTGATTAATATCAGTAAACAAAGAGATGTTGGCTCCTTACTGGGCAGGACCTCTGGATGGTGAGGCCAGCTCTTCCCATCTGCTGTGGGAGACCCAGCCAGTGACCGAGGCCACCTGCAGTATCGGTCTGTGGCTGAACCACATGGTTTGTGAAGCCCTTGGGTTACATGAGAGCAGGTACAGGAAGGGAGCTGGCTAGGCTGCAGCTCCCTTGTGAACCACATCTGTGACATGGTGCTGAGAAAGCTGAGTGACTGTTAGGCTCAGAGGGACATTAAACCAAAACCACAAGTGAACGTGGCCAGAAAAAAACCAAAGGTGATATGTGAGACAGAATCAGAGCTGCTGAGCTGAATTCTGCAACAAGATTTTTTAACCCCACACTGATTTTGTGTTGTTTTGCTCCAGCTTTGTACTGCCAGCTCTGACTTCAGTGTCCAATTAGCTGTGAACAACATCAGATCCACTCATCAAGTCTCCCCTCAATGGTATCATTCACATAAAATATTGCTTATCCCGTACTCAGCCCTTACAGTTTGACAAATGGTGAACTGGATGTGCTCCAGCCCTTCCACGTCCCTGGAGGCTGTTCCTCACACTATCGATCCTCCTTGAAAATATCAATCTCCCTTTGGAATATCATGTCCCTTTCTTGCAATAACATTGGGTTCTGCTGAGGTTATCATCCCTGCTATGCACCGACTGGACCACTGGGTACTGAACCAGATCTGTATGACTCATGTTTGTCATACAGAAGCCAACGGGGCCTCACGTGGCACACAGGAACCAGAGGTGCCTTTCCGGAGCCATGTGCTTGGATGGCAGCACCTCTGAAATACTGCCATGACCTTGCTGTGGTTCCCTTTGCGTTCCACGCTTCCTCATGACTGTCTGCACAGATGAGCTAAAAGATGAGACATTCAGGTCAGTTATGAGGAGGAAATTCTGTACTCAGAAAGTGATGAGGCCCTGACGGGGGGGGAGCTGTGGATTCCCTATCCCTGGAGGTGCTCATAGCCAGGCTGGATGGGGCTCTGGGCAGCCTGATCAGGTGGCAACCAGCCCACAAGGGACTGGGGCTGGGGAGGCTTTGAGGCCCCTTCCAACCCAACCATTCTGTGGTTCTGTGATCTTAGAGGACCCTTCCAACCCAGCCATTCTGTGGTTCTGTGATCCTTAAGGACCCTCCCAACCCAATAATTCTGTAGTTCTGTTATCCTAGAGGCCCCTTCCAACCCAACCATTCTGTGGTTCTGTGATCTTAGAGGACCCTTCCAACCCAACCATTCCATGGTTCTGTGATCCTTAAGGACCCTCCCAACCCAATAATTCTGTAGTTCTGTTATCCTAGAGGACCCTTCCAACCCAACCATTCCATGGTTCTGTGATCCTTAAGGACCCTCCCAACCCAATAATTCTGTGGTTCTGTTATCTTAGAGGTCCGTTCCATCCCAACCATTCTGTGGTCCTACGGATCCATGAAATGTGGACGGCAGGTGTGTTTGCCTCGCTGCTCACGTTGGTGTGCTTTATGCAAGGCAGGCCATTCACAAGGACCTGCTTTTCTTTCACTTCTTGCAGGGCTCTCCAGGCTCACAGCCAGCAGCACTCTGAGTCACCTGAGCCAGCAGCCCTTAGAACACTGCGAGCAGCAGCTGCTGCTCAGCGTGAGGTGCTTCACACAACACAAAGGAGCTCCCTGCATGGAACCCCTGCACTGTGGCCGCGAGAAGCCAGGCCCCGCTTCAGCTACAGCCACAAACCCAGCCCACGCTGAGTCCAGGCCACAAGATGGCGGCGGCGTCACGCACCCCTCGCCGCTAGGGGGCGCCACACACCCCCAGCGCGCGGTGGCCGCGCTCACTTCCGGTGAGGCGCCGGAAGTCGGTGGCGGCGCAGTCCGGAGGCCCGAAGCCGGGCGGAGCGCGGTGGGCTTTACGCCCGCCGGTGTTTGCGGCCTTTCGGTGCTGTCGTGGGCATCGTCGCGTCGGTGGAGGGGCTCCGCGCTGAGTCCTGAGCGGGGACGAAGCTGGGGAGAAGCGGGCCGAAGGGAGGCGAGGCTTGACAGGAGCGCCTGGTGCAAGCAAGCGGGCCTTCCGGGTGCTGTGTGAGTAAGAACTGAAGCTGTGTCTGTGTCCTTAATCGGATCATCGCCTGATTGCAGTGGGCTTGGCTTGACTTTGGGAAGGTTCAGGCTGGATGTGAGGGAAGATTTCTTCTCGGGAAGGAGCGGTGAGGCACAGGCTGCTCGGGGGGCGTAGTGGAGTCACCGTTCCTAGGTGTGCTCAGGAACCACGGAGATGTGGCACTGAGGGACGTGGCCCGGTGGGCGTGGGTTGGGCTGGATGGTCTTAGTGGTGGTTTTTTCCAGCCTTACTGCCTTTCTGAATTCCTTTCCCTGTTCTAGGAGTCCGTGGCTGTCTGAGCATGGACACCCTGAAGAACCGTACTGTGGAGGAGCTGCAGGCACTGCAGGAGGATGCTGTGGAGATCGAGCGCTTGGCCCTGGAGTCCAGGGAGGTAAGCAGTGAGGCAGGCAGGTGAGGGCTGGCTGCATGACACTGTGCTGACCGTGGGCTCTGCTCCTCAGGTGCAGGAGCTGCAGCTGGAGAGAGAGATGGCACTCGCTGCCAATCGCAGCCTTGCTGAGCAGAACCTGAAGTTCCAGGTCCCTCTGGAGACAGGGCGTTCTGAGCTCTCCAGCAAGTATGAGGAGCTGCAAAACCTCGCTGAACACTGTAAGGAGCAGAAGGCAAAGCTGGGTGAGCGACTTCAGTCTCACTTCCTTTCATATAATTGCAGAACCACACAATGGTTGGGTTGAAAGGGACCTCAAAGCCCCCCAGCCCTAACTCCTGCTGTGGGCTGGTTGTCGCCCAGCAGATCAGGCTGCCCAGGGCCCCATCCAGCCTGGCCTTGGACATCTGCAAGGATGGGACACACACAGCTTCCTTGAGAAGCTGTGCCAGGGCCTCACTGTCCTCTGAGTGAGGAATCTCATCCTCACAGCTAACCTAAATTTCTTCTTTTTTAGTTTTAAACCCTTCTCCCTTCATTCTGTCACTCTCTGCTTGTGTAAAAGATCTTTCTCCTCTGTTTATAAGCTGCCTTTAAGTACCAATCAGGTGTGGCAGTGGTTAAGACTGTTTCCTCTTCAGACTTTTTCCTTACACCAACATTTTCCAAGGCGGGAAGGCACTGTTGGAAAAGCACATGGGGCACAGAAATGTGGACAGTGAGCTCATCCTGCTTTAGGTTTTTCTTGTGTCTCAGTGCAAAGCTGTGGAATAGGTGACAAACTGTGTTAGACAAGTCAGTGTGCTAACAGTGTGCCCTGTTCTGTGTTTATTTCTCTGCTGCTCTTTTCCCCAGAGAAATTTTCAGCTGCAATGCATCCTCAAATGTTGCTGGATCTCCTGCAGGTGGAAAGCCAAAAAATTGAAGAGGAGTCTGAGGTGAGCTTAAGGTTTGAAACAATTAGCAGTTCAAGTGATTAGTTCTAAGAGATCTGCAGTTACTCTCCCAAACCTAATCCCTTAAATCAAGGATTATCTTTTTGTAGCTTGACATTGTTGCTCCAAAAAAGATTGGATTATTCTTTCTTTGCTTCTGTGTGGTGCGGTGGTCCTCTGGGGGAGACGTCAATCCCAAAGTGGATTTGGGGAGGCAGCACTGAGGGATGTTGTACTGTCTTCTCTTCCAGAAAATGGCTGAGAAGTTCCTGGAGGGTGAGGTGGTCCTGGAGACCTTCCTTGAGCAGTTCTTGGTGATGAGGAAGTTGTCTCACTTGCGCCGGGTCAGGGTGGAAAAGCTGCAAGAGGTGCTGCGGAAGTCACGAGCACCACAGGAGCCTGTCAGGGACGCACAGCAGCAGCAGCCTCCTTGTGCACCCGTGGACCCACCGCAGCCTCTGCCCGTCCCATCAGGAGCTCCTTCCTTTCCACTGCCCTACAGCCCGGCCCCAGCCATGCCGCTCGGCCCCACAGCACATGGAGCTCTCCCACCTGCTCCTTTTGCAGGTGCCCCACTCACCACAGGACACAATGCTGCCTCTCAGCCCAGCACCCAGCCTGCCCTTCCCTACCAGCCTCCTCCGGGTGCCACATACCCACCCTTGCAGGCTGCTGACTCCGCACCAGGCTTCCCCAAGCCTCCCCCAGGTGCCTCATTTGCACCAGCCTATTCCTGGTCTCCATCCAGGGGCCCACCGCATGTCCCCTCCTTTCCCTCCACTCCGCCATCCAGACCTGGCTACCCACCCTACGCACCCCCTGGGGCTGGGAGGCCACAGTGTCCCTACCCCACACAGCCTCCCCTCCCCAGTTTCCCGATCCCCCCTCAGCCTCCCTATCCACCAGGGCCACCCTATGGGTACCACCCCCCACCTGGGAACCCCCCGCGCCCTGCTTGGCCTGGCAACTAAACCAGACAGTGTCCTCTGCTGCTCCCTCCTCTTTGTGGACTGAGGAAGAGGAGTGAGCCCAGAGCGTGGCTCTTCAGCCCCTCCACACCAGAGCGTTGCATAGGACGCAGTAGCAGCCACATGTCTGTAGGATCATTGTGAAGTGGTTGCTGGTGGGCTGAAGAGGCTGCTTCCCAACAGGTTCATCCAGGCTCTGCTGTAGCACCCAGGCAGTCAGCTGTGTGTTATACATGGAGTATGCACTGATAAGGCCTGCTGGGAGCCTGACCGCTCTGTGTGCAAGTGAGCAATCCTCTGGGTCTGCCTGTCATTTATAACACGTGTAGGAATTCCCAGCTTCTTCATAGATATCCCAAAGCTACAGTGGGAATCACAGTATTTCAGCCACAAAATGTTTGCTGTCTGCAAGGGGCCCTCCTGAAATAGGAGGTGGGAATAACTGGGCTCGCAGGTGTGTTGTAGCTCAGAGGTGCTGCCAGCATGCCCTAAAGCAGAAGCGCATCCCAGTGCTGCCTCTTTCAGGTGACAGAACCCATCTCCACGCTGCCCAGGAGCCTCCACATCCCACACAGGCTCTGACTGAAGGCATGAAGGCTCCAGGCACAGGATGTGGGTGCTTTTACACTACTAGGGGTTCACGCTGCTCTAGGGGGTGTGCCCAGGTTGATGTTGCACACTCAGCTGCTCCTGTGGTGCCCAGGGGTGGATTTGGGATTCCCCTTCTCAGGAAACACGAGGTGATGGGGAGCCAGGGCTGCTAGCAGAAATGGCATTTGCATTGCTCAGCACTTTTTCCTACCAATACCGCTTCTATGTCTGTAAGTTATTTATAAGGGGAGATTACTAATGGACTAGAACAAGAGGAATGCTTTAGGGGGTCGATGGAAGCAGTCCCGCATGGTGGTTAATTACAGTAATAAAATGGTGAATCGTACGTGGAGTCCCAGCAGTGGTACCTTCAGAAATGACAGAGCTCTATTGATCTTTCCGTGCCATCTTGGCAGCCTCGCACTGACTTCCTCTCCATTTTATCAGCACAACCTTTTACCCTCCTGCAGTACTGTCTTCTAGCGCATCCTTCCTGCTCTCCAGCTCTTTCTCCCCCAAGGGGCCCATTGCTGCCTCTGCACCATTTCTTGCTCATCCCTTGTGCTGGTGGTGCCTTTTGGTTGGCCATCCGAGAAGTGGCGCGGTAGCGGAAGGTAGAGAACAAGACATCGTTACCAGAAATAACCGTTTTATTACCAACTAAATGGATTGCTTCTCGATGTTTCTGTTCTTCCTGTGCTGCCCATCCGCACTTTGCTTTTTGCACAGCCCTTGTGCTGTCCTGCGCACGCGCAACCAACTTCATTTCTCTCCTTACAGCTCCGAGGTGCGCGGTTGCATCACAGCAGCCCTTGGTAAACTTTCAGATGCATGCAGAGCTCAGAAAGCCCCCACCTTGTGCTTTCCCAGGCAGGAAGGAGGCCCAGAAGTGAGAGAATGAGCAGGAAGAAGCAAAAGGTTGCTCAGAGGCTGGGGCACATCAGCACCCTGAGGCCATTGTGGGGTCAGAGATGAGTGCAGCAAAGGATGCGAGTGGGCTCTGCTCCAGCAGAGAGATCTCCAAGTGAGCCGGGTGGGCTCCAGCACCATGGGGATGGGGATATATGGGCATCCATCCATCTGTTCCACCAGCTCTGTGCAGCTGAATTAATCGATCCCATCATTGGGCGGCCCTACCTCTGCCTCTCACAGCCTGCGGGCAGAGTGCAGATCGTAGTCGCTGTCAGAGGAGTTATCCACGGCGCTGGAAGCTCGTGCTGTGCCTTCCAGGGCTGTGGATTGAACCACACATGGCTCCTTAGCCAGTGCCACCAGATGGTGCCGGCATTACAGAGCCCCACATTCATCCTTCCCCATGGGAAGGGAGTCCACGTTCCCAGTGTCCTCACCTGGGTACGCCGACAGGCTCTTCTGGGGGGGCTGAGCATAATCATTGTCCCTCCCCTGCACCCTCTGCTCCTCCACTCTTACCCTCGGGGTGACAGTGCTGTTGCGGTGGAAGGAAACTGCAAGGCAGGGTGGCTTGGGAAGAGTGCTTGGTGCCACCAAGCCGGCACTGCACTGCCGTGGTGGCAAGAAGCAAGAGCTGCTTACACCCCACGCCAAAACCCTGCTCCCTGCTCACCGCTCTGGTGCAGTCCTGTGGGGCCGATCCACTGCCGCTGCTTCTTCTTGGAGACTGCGAGGAAGGGATGGAGAGAGGGAGGGAAAGGTTGCAGTCAGGTTGTGCTCCCCCAGGAGCGCGCTGTGGCCCCATCTGCCATGCCCAGTAATCCTCCTGGTAATCCCGTCTCGTGCTGAGCGCTCGTTTGTGCGCCTAATCCTTGTGCCGCAGGCGGCACGGGGACAGTGGGGACAGGGTGGTGGCAACGGCGTAGGGAAAATGGGGATGAAATGGTAGCACTGGTATAGGGACAGTGAGGATGGAGTGGTAGCATCAGTGTGGCATCCAGGGGAAGCGACATGGAGTGCACACATGTCACCCTCAAAACTTCAGGAAGATGGGGGATGTGGTTGACACAAAGAGGGGGGTGTGGGGACAGGTTGGGGGTCTGGCCACCTACTCCTCTTCATCAGCCTCCTGTAAGCGGGGGGGCCACAGATGAGCAGCAGGACTCCCAGCAGGAGCAGGGCCAGGCAGATGCTAGCCACTGTGCCAGGTGCGGTGCCAGCAGGAGGTGGCTTCGACTTCTGGCCTGGGGGAAGATGGCATCATCATGCAGGTGGCACCCTCAAGGGAGTGGCACTGCGAGGAGTGGGCACACAGCTGCTTACAGACCACATGGGTGCGAGAGCAGCCCTGGACCTCCTTGGGGCTCTCGGGACAGAGGTGGAGGTAACGCTCCTTGCAGATGATCCCACTGGCATGGGAGTCCCGCAGCTCGGCGCTGAAGGAGAGGTCCCCGCAGCGCAGCTCCCTGCAGAGCTGGCGGCCTCGCTCGACACGGTGTACCTGCTCATCACATAGCATGTGCCAGTGGCCCCTCTGGAACACCTCGATGTGCCCCTCGCATGGCGTGGGGCCGCCTGCCAGCCTGCGCCCGGCACGTGGCTGGGAACCTGCAGGGAGAGGACTGGTGGCATGATGGCACAGACAGCGCGTCCCCATGGCAAGCACAGCCGTGAAAACCCACATCAGCAATATGTCATCTCATTAAGCCTCCCAAGCCCCACAGGACAGCTTCAAAGCCTGAGCAGATGGAGGCGAGGGCCAAGGGCTTGGCAATCCCATGGCACAAGCAGGACGCTGGGTACATCTTCCAGTAACCAAGCGTGCGCAATTTTGTCTTTGTATGTGAGCGCAAGGGGCACCACTGCCACCCATCCTTTGCCCCTGTCACACGCTCACCTGGGCAGATGAGGAAGGTGGATGCTTTCCCGTGCCCGTGACTGGTCCAGCTGAAGCAATCGAGCAATTCAGGGCTGGTGCATGGCACCACTGCCTCCCACCTCACGGGCAGGCGGCTCTGTGGTGGCAGAGACATGGGGCCACCCACTGGGCCACCAATGGGACCACCAGTGGGGATACCACTGGGGTTGTTGCAGCCAAGTGCACGGCAGATGCGGGTGGGCAGCTCTGGCCAAACGTTTGGGCTGAGTGCCACGGCCCCCCATCGGCCCCGCAGGTGCAGCTCCACAAAGCCTGAGCAGCTGAAGTTGCCATCCACCAACCGCAGCCATGGGGCGCCTAGTGAGGGAACAGAGACAGTGCAGCCATCACACACGTGGACCTCGGCCCCAAAGCCCCCCATGTTCACACTGGTGGGGAACAAAGTCCTCGCTATGCATATTCTATCCTGCCACCCAGCTGAACATCCCCAGGGTGGCTGTGGGCAGGGGGCTCTCACCGGTGGGCTCGGGGCTGGTGGTGGGAGGTAGAGGTGGGGGCTCGGTTCTGGTGGGCTCTGGCTCTGAAATGAGAAGAGAGGCAGCAGGTGGGGGCAGTTGGGGGCACAGATGGCCATAGGGAGGCCATGCTCACCGCTGCAGGCGACAATGGCTTGCTGGCTGCAGTTGGCGGCCACCCAATGGCACCTCTCCATCCCCTTGCACCGCATAGCCCATGCCTGCTGCTCCTCGAGGTTGGGAGGCATGAAGCTCAGCCTGGTAGGAGGGCCGCAGCCCAGCTGCTGGCACACGCTGTCCTGGCTCACACCATCCCAGCACACAGGACTCCATCTGCTCCACTCCATTTGCACCTCCAGCAGCCCAGTACAGCGGCAGCCACCACCGGAGAGCCGCAAGCTGGGCTTTTCTGGAACAGTGAGCATTGGTGGTCAGCATCCCCTGCCTGGCACTGGGCATCCCATGTGGGAACCCATACAGGTTCCACAACCCCAAAGCCGGAGCCCCAAAGCGCACTCACCTCCAGGGCCCAGAGCTGCTCCTCTGTGCCTGCAGCCAGCTGCAAGAGAAGGGGATCAGCCTGCGCCCCACACCGTGGGCAGTGTCCCCCAGGAGAAGCACCACGTACTCACCCCACATTCCCACCATGAGCAGAAGGCACAGGGTGGGCATCTGGGCTGCCATGGAGCCGTGCTGCCTCCTCCGCCCCGGTGCTGGTGGCTGAGCGGGAGGTGTGTGGAGCAGCAACGCCTCTGTACCCAGCCTGGGGAAGGGAGGCCCGGAGGGGGGGGAGCAGGCAGGCAGCAGTAGGCTGTTTTTCTTCCCTCTGTGGTTTTTGCGTCACATCTTCCTCATTTGAAGTTGCATCATGGCAGCTGCCTCGCCAGGGGCAGAACCAGAGAGAAAGAGGGGAACTGTACCTCATTTTTGACCCCATGCTCATCCCCAAACCATCTACAATCCCATGACATCCTACCTCCTTCCCTATCTCCATCCAATCCCCACTCCATCCTCATCTCCATTTCCATCCCCATCTCGTCCCCTTCCTGTCCCCATTCCTGTTCCCATCCCCATCCCATCTCCAATCTCGTCACATCCCATCCCTGCCTACATCTCATCTATATTCATCCCATACCCACTGCCTCCCCATCCCATCTCCAACCCCATCCCATCCCTATCTCCACTCCTTCCCATCCATCCCATCCCCATTCCCTCTCCACCAAGAGATCCCCATCAGCCCCCAACCCCACAGAAGGAGGGAGCTCAAGGAGAAGTGAACGTGCCCAGCACTGGGGGCCACGTGGACCTTCCTTTTCCTTGGAGTCCTCGCAGGGCTGCAGGCAGCGTGGAGAAGGCGAGCTGAGTGCTGGAGCTGGTACCCAAAGCTGGGTGAGCTCCACGTGTCTCGTGCCTGAAACACTGCTACTCTTCTCCCAGTTACAGGCATTCTGGGGACACAGCATGTCCCTGTGAGGCACATGGGTGCTGGGGAGGCACTGATTGATTGCACCCTAATTAATTTCCCCAAATCCAGGTCAGGCATGCAAAGGAAGCCGCTCGCCATCGACTTGGTGGCAGTGCTGATGAATGGCGGCTCCACAGGGCCACCAAACTCTCCACATGGTAACACCACAGCCCTGTGCCTACAGAGGTCCCCCACCCCACAGCCTCACTCTGGCCCCACATCTCCACTCCCTGGGAGTTTCCTGCCTCAACGCTTTCTCGGGGCTGAAGATTTTCCATGACTCAAGAGGAGGTCTCTAAGAGGTGCTCAGGGTGGGCAGCGCTGATCCTGCTGGCTGTAGCGGTCCATTGGTGGGACCCAACGTGTTCACCCCATTTCTCACCTAAATCCAAGCCAGGGGCTGCGGCACTCAGTTCACCACCAAACTGTGGGGATGTGGTACTTGGTGCACGACCTGGGCGGAAAGCATCGTGTGCACAGAGTAGCTTGGCCCCACGCAGGCTCCGCTTGCAGCCCTGCTCTCGTCTCCTCTCTCTCCCCTTTGTCTGGGGTTTTGTTGCTATTTCAGTGCTTCCTCTGTTGTTGCGGTGCGGCCCCTTTGTTCTGGGCTGCCAGAGCCGCTCAACTCGGTAAACAGCTGGAGGATGTGACAGGGGGCAAATTTTCCACTGTGGCTCATAGCCCGGAGGCAATGAGAGCTCAGCTTCCCCAGGACCCCGCTGGGTTCCATGCTAGGCTGAGCACGGCAGCCAGAGCACCCTCAGGATGGGGCAGGGTGTTGGGAATGGCATCCCTTGGGTACACCCAGAAAGAGATGAGGGCTTGCCAGGCAGATGGGGCTAAAAGCTTTTAATGGCCCACGGCTGTGTTATGGATAAGAGTCCCCTCCCCGCTGCCTGTTCCCACTCTCAGCAGCCAGAGCCCTGGATGTCATCGTAGTCACTCCCCTCAGAGAAGCTGGGGTCCTGTGTGTGTTCCTTTAGGGATGGGTCCCCGTATGTCTCAGCACCCTGCACGTTCTCATACCACTCCCCCGAGGAGGTGCTGGAGCTGTCAGCATGGTCGGGGTCTGTTGGGGGTGGTGATACCCACGGCGTGTTGAGCACTGGGATGGGCACACAGGGCGCAGCTGGGGGTGCTGTGGAGGGCGGGAGATGTATGAGCACCTCTCAGCCCTCCTGCCACTCCCTGGGGTCCCCACATCAATCTGGGGCTGTCCCCATCCTTGGGGGTCTCACCAACCCCATTGCCGTCCCCAGAGCTTTTCCCACCCAAGAGGTCACATCAACACCATCCCCATCCCCAGGGCCATCCCCATCCCTGGGTGCTCTCACCATCCCCAAGGCCGTCCCCATCCCTATAACCGTTTCAGTCCCCTTACTGGTGGGTGCTGTGTGCTGCTGGGTGCTGCATGATGGGGGCTGTGGGCAGTGCCAGGCACCTGTGGAGGCTGCGTTCTCACTACAGTAGGGCTCCATGGAGGAGGAAGAAGAGGAAGAGGATGAGCTCCTCACCCTGTCCCATGGGTGGGCGCACTGCATGGTTGGCACTGCAGGGACACAGGGTGCATGTCACTAGGGAAGCACAGGGCCACCATTCACCCGCCCCTGGATGGGCAGACAGACGGCTGTGGGACAGGAGGATGGGGCTGGCGCACCCTCTGTGGGAAATGGCTCCATCCCATCCTGGGTGGGCAGCAGAAGCTGCTCACCTGGCTGTCGGCGCTGTGAGTCTGTGGGGTGGGAGGAACAGGGTCAATTGGGGAACCCAATATAGTGGGGAGGTGCCAGGGTGGGGGGTGGCGTCTCACTGTGGAAGGTGGAGAGGGCCACGGGTGGCTTGCTGCTGAAATCATAGTGTTCGTAGTCAGAGTCAGAGGAGTCGGAGCCCTTGGTGGTGGGAAGGGTTGCGGGTGTGGAGTCTGCAGGGAGAAACAGAGCCGGGGCTGGAGTCACCAGCAGCACTGGAGGGGCTGGTGGACTCAGGGAGCATGTAGGGCTGATGGGGATGGTGGGCTGCTGGAGTTGATGGAGCTAATGGGGCTGCTGAGGACTCACAGAACAGTGAGTGACCTGCTAGACCCACCTGGCTCCTTGGGGAGGTCTGCGGGTACCTCCCTGTAGTTGTTGCAAGTCTCCAAGGGCATGTCGTGACCCTGGCTGCTGTGGGTCACCAGGAGTGGCACTGGGGTCCCCAGGGTGAGGGCTGCAAGAGTGGAGAGCATCAGTGAGAGTACGGCCAGGAGCAGTGCCCCATGCAGCCCCCTATGCAGGAATCCTCACCACTCCTCTTCCTCAAGTGCAGCAAGGCAGTGGTGAAGACCACCAGTGCGAGCAGGAGCAGCACTGCCAGCACCACACATGGGATGAAGAGAGGCATATGCAGAGGGGACAGGCCTCCCGCTGCATCCAAGCCCTTTGTGGCTGCAGCAGAGAATGGACAAAGTTCATGACACTCTCCCACCTACATCCCTTCACCCCTTGGTTCCCCCCCAAAGCACACTTACTGCTTGGGGATGTACCACCATTTGGCATCACTGTCGCCTCCAGTGTTGGGGTCTGCAAGCCCAGGGAGCCTGCAGGAGGGCAGAGGGGAGGCTGCAGCCCCACAACCCAGGGGGGCTGCTGGCCCAAACCTTTCCCCACGGGGCCAAAGGGTGCCGTACCATTGCAGACGACACCGGCAGCACGGGACTCGTGGCAGGGAGCTGATTTGTTGTAGGTCCAGCGGCAGTACGCCAGTGAGGGCTGCCAGTCCGGGCACTCATAAAGCATCTTGGTGGGCAGCGTGTGGTGGAAGGAAGGACGCTGCAGTGGCTCCCCGCAGCCCAGCGTGTGGCACAGAACTGAAGCCTCCAGCATGTACCAGGTGCTGTCGCACACGGTGCTCCACGTCCCCCGGTAATGCACCTCCACGCGACCCGCGCAGCCGTCCTTGCCTCCGGACAGCCGCCACTCGTGATGCTCTGCAGGGGCACTGCGTGCGGTCAGGGCGGTGCCACAACACGGGGAGCGGCCATTTGCGTGACACAAGGACCAGACGGCGCCGCGGCACCGCTTTTGGATGGCGCCGCGGCACGGGGACGGTGCCACAGGCATCCCCCCCCCCAGCGCACACATCACCCACCCGAGCACACCACGCTGGCGTCCTCTTTGTGGCTGCAGTCGTGCTGCAGGGCAGCAGGGCATTCCCCCAGTTTCTCCTCGTGCCCGCTGCAGTTCACCTCGTCCAGCAGCACGGGGCCGTGCCCCCGGCCGAAGGCGGCCTCTCGCGGCGCACGCAGTGCCCAGCCGCAGCCCAGCTGCCGGCACACCACGGCGGCATCAGCCAGGTCCCAGCCGTCGTCACACACCGTGCCCCAGCTGCCCGCCTGCCGCAGCTCCACCCGGCCCTCGCAGCGGCTGCGCCCACCGGCCAGACGCAGCGCCGGGGCACCTGGGTGAGATGGAGAGGTGCTGGCACACGGCACACGACACACGGGGACGGTGTGCACCCACTGTGACCTTACCTGTGCAGGTGACGTTTGCCGGCCCTGCTGCACAGCAGCTGGGCTCGGTGGCCAGCTGCAGCTGGCAGAGCTGTGGCTCCCACCCACTGCAGTTGGCCACCGCAGCTGGACATCCCTTGGAGAAATCTCTGTCACTGTCCAGGCTTGCCATCACCGCATCACCCTCAGCATCTCCGCAGTGCAGGTGGTGGCACAGCTCCTGAGAGGCAGCAGCACTCCAGGACCCCCGACACACGGGCATCCATTGGCCATGATGCTGCACCTGCACTGTGCCCTCACAGGGGTGGCTGCCACCAGCCAGGCGCAGCGTGGCTGTGCCCCAGGGACCTGCAGGCAGCTCGGGATGAGGGTGGCAGGGGGGTCCCCACACCCGCTGCCCCATGGATGGATGCCCATTCTCACCTGACTCTGCTGAGATGTTGCTTGGCACCGCAGTGGGAACTCCCGTTGCCTTCACTGGAGCTATAAAGAGGGGACAGGGAGGTGTAGGATGGCAGTGGGATGCCGGTCCCCAGCATGGCACCAGAGGTACAAAATGGCGACCAGAGGTTGCCTGATCTTAAGCCAAAATCTCAAATTCATCCCATGTGGCCACACATTGACCCCCCCCCCCGGTGCAGGGGACTGCTCTGGGAAGCCCCTAGGCTTAGCAGTGGGGTTTGGGACAGGCCTGTGCTCAGGTGATTGGTGCTGAGGGGAGATTTTAGGGCACCATGCATGTGCTGGGGGCAAAATGGTGTCCGGGTCTGTTGGGAACAGAGATGTGAGCTCAGCACCTCACTGCTCAGCTTGGGAGGAGGAGAAAAGCAGGGGCACTCTGCACAGCCTGCAGCAAAGCATTTGCTTTCTCTCAGCAATGCTCCACGTGAAGCAGCATTCTTTGCAGAACAACGGTCTGGTGCAAAAAGCAGGGTGGGATGGGGTGGGGTGGGGTGGGGTGGGATGCTCCTGGGGAACAACGGCAAAGCGCTTCACCTCCCTGGTGGCAGTAAGGGGACACAGAATGGGAAACCTCATGCTGGGTCAGATCCCACTGGTGCCGAGCATCCCTACCATGTATCAAACCCAATGTGTTGGCGACATCCCGTCAGGGCTGGGGATGATGGCATACCTGATTTGGGCACAGCAGCAGCGCAGAGAGCAGACAGCAGCAGGTACAGCACCTCCATCCTCACCTCCTGCCCATTGCATCGGGTGCTGCTCAGTGTCGGGATGTGGTCCCGTGCTGCTGCATGCTGCACGTCCGGCCCCGGTATGCAGGAAGCCGGGGTGCTGGTGTGGGGGTGGTTCCATCCTGTCCCACTGCAGCACCACATGCCCGTGGGAAGCAGTATGCTGAGGGGTAATGGAGGTAGCTTGGGGACCATGTCGTGCACCCGTGGTGTCCCTATAGTGCATCGGTGGTGTGGGAGAAGCTCAGAGCACTGCGGGATCACACTGCGCCGCACTCTGATTTGGGATGAGAGGGGTTGGGAGAACCCACCCCCACTGCAGGGATGAGCTCTGCCACCAGCAGTGGGGACAGGGGGACCCCGGGATAACCAGGATGGATTGGATGCAGCTGATCACTTCGGCATCTGTGGATAAAGGGGTGGGCATGGATGTGTGGTCTACCACCAGCAGTGGGATGGAAAATGGATTTGGGAGCCTTCATGAAACTGAGGAAGCCCAGCTCAGCATCACTAACTCCATCCATCCCATTCAATCCCCACTCCCATCCCCAATCCATCCCATCCCATCCCCATCCCATCCCCATCCCCATCTAATCTCCATCCCATCCCCATCCCCATCTAATCTCCATCCCATCCCTATCTCAACCCATCCCATCCCCATCCCCATCCCATCCCCATCGTCATCTAATCTCCATCCCATCCCTATCTCAACCCATCCCATCCCCATCC